TTTTATTTCCGGTTTGTCATCTTTTGAGCCATGATACGCTAATTAATCGATAACTAAACGATTAAGTTGTGGAAATCAAAAACAGGTGATATGCACGATCATATTAATAATCGATCAATTATCGATTATTGGTTTATCACATATAATTTAAAACATAAAGGCTTACGCTTTTCTATTACTGGGTAGCTAGAAATAAATCCTACTGATTTTTTGGTTATCGATAAAAGGATGCTCTATTTCAGAATGCACGATTACAAACAGAAATAATCGACATACACTAATCATCCCATTTGATGATCACTCCCTGGCATTAGGTACTTCCTTTACGCCAGATTGTGGCCCATGCAATTACGACTGCTACTACCCAATTACTGAAGTACCTCTCAGCCCAAAACCTTCCCTTTTCTTAAGTTTAAGGAACGTGTCAGTGGATCCGGCAGAGAAATAAGAAGGAGAAGATTACAGCCCGTTGACAAGGCACCAGAGTTGGGATTAATCAATTGCTCTGCAATTATCGGGGGTCTGGAGCTTCGGAGGGGGGAAAGCGGGACCAGTAACAGGAACCCATCAGGCCGTACAAAGCCTAATGGCCATAATGAATGGATTAAGCCAGCATTTACGCAAACGCGTTGATATTTCCTCTGACCAAACAAAATATAAATCGAGCCAACTACATGGGGACCTGTCCCAAAGATGGGGGCCTCCAACGGGGAAGGATCTGAGGACGGGGTATGGGGCTAACAATTTGCATGATCTTGCCTCTTTGCCTCCGCTTGCATCTTGGCATCTACTTAATTTCAAGTTGTCCGCGGAAAAACTTAAGCATATTTAACCGCATGTCGCTGATTTTAATGGCGCGGCTGGGAGAGAGCAGTATATGTTGCACATATATATATACCTATAGAGGGTTACGATTTGAATTGAGGGAGGAGGGGGGGAAATCCGAGGTCTTGAGTTCTTGTTCTCCAGTCTCATTTCGTGGCGACGCTCACGCATATTCCGCATATGCAGACGACGCACGACGGGATGCAGGCGCCACTTGGCCAGCAAACAGAGTCAGTTGCTAAGATCAGGGGGTTACGACGGGTTCCCGGGGTCTCTGGGGGTCTCCGATACTGGGCAGTAGGTGCAGTTCAGATTGGGCTAATGCCAGGTAAATGTTAACCGCGGAATGCCATTGCCCTCACTGCAACCAGCTGACCTTTGCACATGCCACCGATTCCGATTCCGAAAGGGTTAAGACAGGGGAACAATCAACGGAATCAGGAGCGTATATGCTATATAAGCCCGGGACAAGCGCCATCGGTTGTCTTAATCAAAAAAGCCTGTCAACGGGGCCATCATATCGAATGACAAACTCGAGTGCACAATAAGAAAGGCTCAAGACTTAACCGTCCAGAGAAGCAAGAAGACAGGGGAGAAGAATGAAGAACGAAGAAAAGAGGTACACAAAGAAAGGTAAAGAAAAGGTTTTATATCCCGGGATTATCAGAGCTCCGGCCAGCTCAATCGGAAAATGATCGATGAGCGATCGTGGCAAGGTGCATCTTTGTTTGGCCTAATTAAGCCGAGTTATATGGGTTGGCTGCCCATCCTCTCTTCACTCTCCATTCATTATGGAGCCACGAGTTCGGGGAAAATGTCACTGGTCGAAAGGTTCCATTGAGGTAACACGATGATATACTCGTTGAAAACTAAGGAAATCCAACCCACGATCGTGTGTGGCTTCTAGGAATGATTCTTTGAAAGCTTTCGGCTTGATATCTTTTATTTGATATCTGTATCTTATCTGTGATATTATATAACAAATTCGTATCAATAAATGATTGATACTCTCATATATCATTTCAAATCTATGAATCGTGTGGGCTTAACTGGAACTGACGATTCATCCCTATCTATTAACCTTCTGTTTTGGTTAGAGATTTTTGGATAAGTAATCTTATAGTGGATTTACATAGATTGTATTTGACTAACTGAACTTTCAACTATTAGATGAGAGGATATCTAACAAAGTATACGAATAATATCTAACCTCTAAGTAGCTATGGCTGCCTACCCCTGTTGCTTTAGTTTTAACTTTAAGCAAGCAGTTTGTAAATAAATAAATAAATATCTAACCTGCTTGAATAGACTTTAAAAGTTTAATACTCTTTAAAGGGGCTTGGGAGCCTTTAAAAATTCCGAAAAAATAATCAACCAGTAAATAGATATCGACTTGGTTATATCTTCTTCTTCCATCTGCTGGACTGAATCTCCAACTCCGGATAAATGAACATGTCCGCGTCAAAGTGTCGCCCGTGCGAAAGCGCCACGAAGGGGGTAAACGGAAGGGGAAAAGGAAGGGGTTAACTTAAGTTAGGGAGAAAGGAAGCGGTTAAGGAAGGGCAAGAGGATGGGGGTCAGGGTGTCGTGTAGGAACAGCAGCTGCTGGACATCGTTTCCCAGCACGGGAATGCCGGGCACAAAAGCTGGGGGAGATCGCCAGGGAAGGGATGTTGTTGCTGCCAGCGATTGCAATCTCTGTGCTGCAGTTGTCGCTTCTGTTTCTGTTTTTCGGTCTCTGGTGCTCCTCCTGTTCCTCCAGAGCCTCCTTTTCCTCCCGATTCTCCTTAATTTTCCGCCATTTGCTCATTTGGTGCCGAACCACAAAGCGTATGTGCCATACAGATGAAGAAAAAAACATAGCAATATTCAATATCAAGTTATAAAAAAAACCGATCATGAAAAATTCGTGAAAAATCCACCTACTATGGTATCGATTTTTTATACATCGCAAGCAATACCACATCATCAAGATATAGAAAACAACCAAGTTACAGAAGATCAACAGCATTTCTCGCCGTGCAGATGCAGGGAGGGATTGAAGGTGGAGATCTCGTGCAGCTGATAAACGTAGCCTCCCGATGAAGTCGTTTTTTTGGAGACCCGAGAATCGGCGACACACTGGCAACATACACAATTTAATTAAAGACGCGACTACCGGATCTGGGATTCGATCGGATCAAAAACTATCGGCAATCGATCGCCGATCGCTGACACGCATAAATCCTGCACATCGATGCTATAGATCGCCGATATCGAGATGGGGACGGGACCTTTTACGGACCTCTCTCGATCTGACCTTGGCCACTAATGAAGATCTCGAACCGACGATGCTCCTGCGGCTGTTGCATAATTCATTTCCAATTTATACGCCATAAAAGCGATAATGGCCGCAATTAAGTTCGTGTTCCTTTGATAATTTTCCACATTTACGCGGCCATTAAAATGATTCCCAACGCATTTTTCAGACCCTCCTATCAGGTCGCCTCATTTCCATTTCCATTCCACAGCACAGACAGGCTCCATTCTACGCTTATCGCGAAGTGAAGAAAGAGAGGCGGAGAGATGGGAAAAGCATCTAGGGGAATTGGGAATATAGTATATGTTGGTATAGGTTTTTGGTATGGGCCTATGCCTATAGTCCAACCCCGAGGTGTTAATTAGCATTATCTTAATGCACGTTCCGGCACACAGTTCAAATTGAATTATACATAATAATTTGTCTGCCGCTCTTTAAAGTGCAACTTAATGTTCGAGTGGACAGGCCATCTCCATCTCGAGGAGCTCCGGAGTGTTGCCTTCGGTCTCCGGAGGGGTAAGTGGTGACCCCACCCTGAATGAACCGCAAATATGGTGGAGTGGAGTGGACTGGGGTCCACCAAGCTCGTGTTAAGCGCTCATTAATCACATTAGATATGCATTAATTCGGTAAGGAATTCAATGGCGTGTAGACGAGAGCGAGAGGGCAAAAGTTGGGGGAGGGAGATAAATAGATACCTCTTTGGCGGGAAAGAAGGAACCATTTTTTGTAGGATAAGCTTCGGAAAATTTATAACTTAGAATTGCAGTACACAACCATTTTTTCAAAGAGCTTGTGGGGTTCTAAGATGGAAGCTCCGAAGTTCAATTGTTTGATGGTGAACCCAATAGTATCTTTAGCTCTACTGGAAGGTGACCCAAAATATTACTTCTAAAACTGCATAACAGGGCTAATCAAACTTCGATTTTAAAAAGACATGTATCCTAAAGATTGTGATTCAAATATCTAACATTTTATTTTAAGGGTATAACCTTTAGTCCATTTAACTATTTATAGACATTTTTAAAAACTTTATAACACATTCAAAATCCTGTATTTAATGCCAGATTATATTATTCATTCTAGAAGAATAGTATTTCTACTGGCTGACTAGCGGAAGATATATGTATAATACCGATAGATTATTTTTGGTGAAGTTTTATCTAGTGACCAGAAACTATTATTAACTGGTATTATTACTTTTTAGCTTTAATTATATAATAACTTTTCCTTATAAGTTTGGTATCCCATTTTGGAAACAAACAAATCAATATTTATAGTCCCCACAGTTAAGTTAATTTATATGGCTTGGACTGTCTGGAATATTGGACTGAACCGAAAGTACTCCCCCCACCCTCTCGAAAAACCCCAACAATCCTCCAATAACTCATTCAGACCTCCGTTTCCACCCACCCACAAAAGCAACAACAACCCCCAGAGCCAAAAACAAACAAACAAATATAAGAAACTCCCAGTATGGGTGAGTATCTGTGTGAGAGGTAATGCTTAGATGCGAATGTGTGAGTGAGAGAGTGCCGAATGGGGCGGAGCTAAACGAAGGGTGGCTTGAAAGCCGGGTTTATCTACGGGGATATAACTATAGAATAAACTATAGCTAAAGATCTCTGCAGTGTTTTTGTTTTATATTAGTTTGTGTTTTGTTTGTTTTTGTAATTATAGTTATAGAGGCAGAGAGAGGCACAGCCATGTTGGGGCGCACAAGAGAGGGAGAGAGAGCGCACTCGTTCGAAGAGCGAGTGGCTAGGGCTGTCTTGCTCGCACTTGAAAAGGGGAGCCCATCCAGGCAGAGGCGTTGACCGCGGCAGCGACGCCGGCAGCGGCAGCGGGACTTTTCTTGCGGTGCGCCCGCCATTCGAAATCAGTCAATGTTGAGTTGACGGCGCGAGAAGACGCGGGAGAAAGAGAGCGGAGAATTGGGGATCTAAAGAGACCAAGAATCAAACACTCCGAACTCAAGAATCAGAACGAAAAGAACCCAAGTCCCGTCGCTGTGCCGTATTGGAGAGTTTAAGAATCAAAATCTAAGAATCGAAATTCAAAGAATCGCAAAGTAAAAGAATCAGATTTTAAGAAACAAAGCCGTCGCTGTGTCGTTATATTACTTATTGTTTTTTTGTGTGTGACTGATTACATGTGTGCCTCCTAGGTAATGAGTGAAGTTGGCAGTGTTTCCAACTGCAGAGACTAAAGACTTTGGGCGCCCAAAAGGAGCCCCGCCGTGTGGAGAATGCTGGTGCCGTCGGACATGATTGCGGCGCAGTCCAAGATGGTCTACCAGATGAACAAGTATTGTGCGGATCGCGTCCAGGTGCGCAAGGCGCAGATCCACAAGCAGATCCAGGAGGTGTGTCGAATTGTTCAGGATGTGCTCAAGGAGGTGGAGGTCCAGGAGCCGCGGTTCATCTCCTCCCTGAACGACTACAACGGCCGTTTTGAGGGCCTGGAGGTGATATCGCCCACGGAATTCGAGATCATCATCTATCTGAATCAAATGGGTGTGCTCAACTTTGTGGACGATGGAACACTGCCAGGATGTGCCGTACTAAAGCTGAGTGATGGCCGGAAGCGTTCGATGTCCCTGTGGGTGGAGTTCATCACGGCCAGTGGCTATCTGTCGGCCCGGAAGATACGTTCCAGGTTCCAGACCCTGGTGGCCCAGGCGTGCGACAAGTGCGCCTATCGCGACATCGTCAAGATGATCGCCGACACCACGGAGGTGAAGCTGCGCATCCGGGAGCGCATCATAGTCCAGATCACGCCCGCCTTCAAGTGCGCCGGCCTCTGGCCCAGATCCGCCTCCCACTGGCCGCTGCCGGGGATCCCCTGGCCGCATCCCAATATCGTGGCCGAGGTCAAGACGGAGGGATTCGATATGCTCTCCAAGGAGTGCATCGCCCTGCAGGGCAAGAACTCCGCCATGGAGGGCGACGCCTGGGTGCTCAGCTTCACCGACGCCGAGAACCGGCTGCTGCAAGGTGAGTTGCCGTCGGGCTTCTAGATCTAGGTGGTATATACTTATAGGGAAGCTACGCAGGGTAAAACTGTCATTTAAGCCCCTCCAAAAACTTTATAAAATACCATTTTTTGTATAAGTCTTATATAGTTCTCAGCTAACATCATACACCCAGTTTAGAAGTTATTTAGCTATCATTTCTTCTCGAACTACTTGAGTTATATGTTCTGCTATGATACATTTTGAATTTACATGTTAAAAAATATTATTCTTTACATATTTGTCGAATATTTGAAATAAGGAGTACCAAAAACAATAATGAAGTCATAAAAGATTGTTTGAAACCTTTCCCTGCGATTTTCTTCTTAGCTATGGTCTTTAAATCCCTCTGAATACAATGTAAAGTCTTATGAGAGTCTATTTTCCAAAATATAGTTTTTGAATCTAGAAAAGAGATAAAATATCGTATACTGCGAACACTTCGTTATTCTACATCTAGAACCAGACAATATATTTAAATACTATTTTTCTCAGTGCCGCGTGAGTGGCTACCGTATTTCGGGCATGTTTTCGTAGTGCTTAGTGTTCCCCAATCAGTAATCAGTGACACACTTAAACTGAATTGATTTATTCCCATCAAATCAGCGACTTCGTCTTGATACGACCGTAATTGGTTGTAAATTAAGCATTGGACGGGGGTACACCGTATAAATTTGGAGATCGTTCAGCTAGATCGGAAAGAAAGGAGTAGGGAAGGGGGACTTCCATTTTGGGCTATAACTTTCAAGGAACTCATTGAAGGGATTTATCATATAACAAACCCCCACTGATTTCTGATCCGCAACAATAAAAAGACCCGCTAATTGGACTATATGATATCCCTGGATATTTACACAGATAATGTCAAACCACATATTAATAGCTAACGATATGGGAAAACTAAAACTTCAGTTTTAGTTAAACTCCCATTGTGAAAGATATTAAAAATAAAAAAGGCAAATGAGAAGTATTTTAAAAGTCAATTAAGATGTTGTATAGTTTTTTATAAACGATCCGTTATCATGAGTGCAAGAGTTTGCAGACTATTTTAAAATATACCTTGTCTAAATCACTTAGTTACTATATTTTAATGTTAGGTAAGATCTTTAAAATTATTATTGTTACCTCTTTTAAATGCCAGTTGAAATCACTTGACCTCAGCTTAAAAAGATCTTGGTTATTACCGTTTAAAAAATGACTAGCAAGCCGCAAGGCTTTTACCTCTCGTTTTATGGACGTGTGAGAAAGACTTTCGATCGTCGAGCATCGTTAAAAATCTAAGCAACCGCAAACAAGATCGTTACCCTCACCTCGCAGCGATGTCACGTCGAATCTGCATAGTTGGGGAGAAAATTGCACTGCAGATTCAATTAGGCAGGGCGATAAGATGGCTGGCGATTAGTGGGGACCCACTCAATGAGTCGACGACTGCCCAACGAGACATCCGATTATCGGGCCCAGATATGATATGAGATACGAGCCAACGTCGCCCGGTTGGCTACGATCATAAATCTGTTGTTCGATCGAAGGGGGGAGTCCTAACCCGGGTCTTCGGCTCTCCAGGTCTTAAGTTTCTCGGTTTTCTTAGTTTTTCGTTTTTTTTTGGCCGCAGCGCGACAACGCACACAAATCTGCTGATCCCCGAGAGATAAGCGCAGTCTCGGTAGTCGTAGTCCCAAGGCAGTTAGACGGTTAGTTGGTCGGACTACAGACCACTGACTACGGAGCCACGGGAAACGGGTTTCCATATGAACAATGCCAATGGCTGGGCCATAAATAAATTTCTAAACGATTTTATAAATATTTTAAATCTCGGCGATTAGATAAAGTCAACAAATAAATAAAACAACAGCGGGCCAAGCATGAGATGACACATGGAAGAAAAAGAAAAATAATAGGAAAGAGGTAAAAAGATTGGGTTTGGGGGAGCAAAAAGCTGAGAGCTAAGAGCTGAAGCGAAACAAAAAAACGAACGTCAAGCTAAAAAAACCAAAGGCATAACCAAAATCGAAACAGAGAAAGATACCAAAAACCAAATCGAAATCAATTCTAAGGCCCCGTGACAACGATCTCTGATCGATATTGATCCGGCTGGTTCGCCCGCGTGTTTGTCATTTAATTTAATGCTCCTAACCGAACCGAACCACGACGGAAACCGAATCCCCTGACTCTGACTAACTTTCCTTGGTTCACTCTTTGTGGATGAGGTTCAGATATCGGTATTGCAGATACGGATCGTGACTATAATTAGCACTGTCACTTGCAGCTCGAAATTAACGTCCACTTGACATGGACTTCGAGGCCCGAGTTTCGAGTGCCCCGAATCGCACTTGTTTTTACCCGATTTTTTAACCGATTTTCGCCCCCCTTCGAGTGCCAATATTGTGGCAATATCATTCAATATTGATTAGCCGAAATGTGAAGCGGAACCCGGAGCAAGACGCTCCGGAGCGGGAAAAAAGCCGTAGACGTGATTATCGGACCCGGAGCCGAGATTAGCCCGCCTGACATCGTGCCAACGTAGCCATGATTTATGTGCTCCAACGCACTCGGGCCACAATAAATTAAGAATCGGTCGCACTATATACCTGTACACCCGCCTCTCGAGGAGAAATTGAAACCAAAACACCAGTGCAAAATATATGGTTGATCAATCAAAGTCGAGGGCTTAGAACAGGAAGAGGTTTATAGGCTAGACTAGAGGCTATCTTAAAAATTACCATCCAGATCTATCTTATACTGCTTGTTTTATATACCTTTTGTTTAACACCTGATTGGAATAATTTAAGATATAATATCATCCATCTAGAAATTTCTTTAGTTGGCTTTCAATATGGTTCAAAATTATTTTCCTAAGCTTTTCCTAATGATATGTAACAGAATTCACATTATATGCTGTTTATTTATTCCCTGTCTTCAAAAAGTTTAAATATTGTAAGATCTACACAATGAATGAACTCTTATCTTTGCTCAAAGTAATTCTGAAGTGTGTGACAGAACTAAAAATAGTTTATTTTTCAATCACTGACCGGATTATGTTGCTTGAGTCATAAAAAAACATTATCTGCAAGTAGAGCTAATTTTAATAACATTTTGCATATCTATAAGCTTTAAATACTTTTATTTTATATCAGTTGGAATGGCATGAGTCAGTTTAGAAAAATCTGAAAGCTTTCTGAAGTAGGCAAAACACTTAGCGAAATAAATAGACTGATGTACTTGAGATAGAAAGAGTTCTAATGACCAAAGCCATCGATCAGTTAGTGCTTATCTGACACAGAACGAACGAACTATAGGTCTGTCAAAATCATTTCGCCTCAAAAGTATTGATAGCACCAGATGGACATAATGATGCATTGAGCCAATAGCAATCTGTAAAGCTCTGAAAAACCCCTTGTTATCCTTACCACAAAGGTCTACCCAATTAACCAATCAGTAATATGATTTGTTTTGGTTTATAGGAGACTGATATAAAATCTTTATAAATGTAGTTTATAAGGTATTATTTTTAACTATTTCATTAACAACATTTTGAGAAATTTAATTTATTATAAATAACAAGGGAGAACGCTATAGTCGAGTACCTCGACTATCAGATACCCGTTACTCAGCTAAATGGAGATATGCAAGCAGCAAAGCGAGACTAAAATGCGCCACCTACCGGCGGTATACAGATTTAAGCGTTATGGGCGTTAGAGTGGGCGTGGCAAATTTTTTTTGGATCAATCGATAGGTATTGACGAGACCAATACATTTCTGTTAAAATTTTTTATCTAGCATGAAAATTGTGGGCGTCACAGGGTTTTGCGGTTTGTGGGCGTTAAAGTGGGCGTGGCAAACTTTTTTTTGTGTCAATCGATAGGTATTGTTGAGAACATTACATTTCAGTTAAAATTTTCTATCTAGCATGAAAACTGTAGGGGCCACAGTTTTGGGCGGTTTGTGGGCGTTAGAGTGGGCGTGGCAGTCTACTGAAACAAACTTGCGCTGCGTAGGAAGCTCAGGAATCTGCACGCCAAATCTCAATAGCCTAGCTCCCATAGTTTCCGAGATCTCAGCGTTCATCCGGACAGACGGACAGACGGACAGACGGACATGGCTAGATCGACTCGGCTAGTGATCCTGATCAAGAATATATATACTTTATGGGGTCGGAAACGCTTCCTTCTGCCTGTTACATACTTTCCGACGAATCTAGTATACCCTTTTACTCTACGAGTAACGGGTATAAAAATATTTCCATACCAAAAATATTGATAGTATCAGAATCTCAGGAATCAGGACTGCTGCCAATTTGTATAATACAGACAACGGAAGATATCTGCATAGTTAGAATATTATCCATACATTTTAAGATATATAAATTGATCGATTTCTAAGAATTTTGAGGATTTTTGATATTAAATTATTGGTATCCTATATAATAAGCAATTTTCTAACAAAACTATACTTTAGACTGCAGAATTACCTTGAAATATCCCATCAAATTAGTATTTCTCAATAATACCATCCAAATTATTTTTCTTAATTTCAGGAGCCAGTCGACGTCGCTGTCTGAGCATCCTGAAGACCCTGCGAGATCGGCACTTGGACCTGCCCGGCAATCCGGTCACGTCGTACCACCTGAAGACCCTGCTGCTCTACGAGTGCGAGAAGCATCCGCGCGAGATGGAGTGGGAGGAGAACTGCATCGCGGACCGCATCAACGGGATCTTCCTGCAGCTGATATCCTGCCTGCAGTGCCGCCGCTGTCCGCACTACTTCCTGCCCAATATGGATCTGTTCAAGGGCAAGTCGCCGGGTGCCCTGGAGAATGCCGCCAAGCAAGTCTGGCGGCTAACCCGGATCATGTTGACCAATGTCCGTTGCCTGGAGGAGCTGTAAGGGCACCAACATACCATACGATACCACAAAGACCCATTGGATTTTTGGTGGCTGCGGGGGGCAGTGCCGCCTCTGGGTTTTAATTTTTTATTCGCCTTTTTGTTTTTTACCGAATTTTTTTTTAGAACTAAAGACAAAGGATCGGTGGGATCACTGAGGCGATTGGGGTGGGATTTGAAGAAAGAGAGCAGTGAAATTGTAACCCAAATACTATTTGATATTTCGCTAGATCGTAACTTAAGTTTAGGTGCTTTCGAAAAGTATACGCCGCTTACAGAGTTTCCTATAATTAGAGCATACTTAGTGTTATCCATTTAGATCGTCATCGTCGCATAACGCACAAAAGTTACCATCTAGATATAAACGTTTTTTTTTTATTGGCCCATTTGCTGACAGCAAAGCGCAGAGCAAAATTAGCTAAATTAGACGTAAGTCCAATGAAACTGAGACAGCCGATTTGGAGGAATATTTCCCCGACGGTTCTAAATTATTTATTCTATGTTTTTGCCTTCTTCTTGTGAGTTTAGTCAATAAAACGTAAGTTTTTCAATGAAATTATGTTTTGTTAATTTGGGGGAGTTTATCAATCGGAGGTAAGTAAAATACTATATCAAGAAATGGATTTAAGAGTGTAACAGATGACTGTTTCTATATTTTAATATTTATATACTTAAAATGATCAATCAAATGGTTCTTGGGTTTTTCACTCACATATGATAATATATTTATTGAATTTCGAGGAGTTACTTAATCGAAGGTAAATAAAATACATTAATCAAGAATCAATCAATAGAGTTAATAACTGTTTCTAAACTTGTATCCCTAAAAATGTTTAATCAAACGGTTCTTGGAGTTTTAACTCACTTTTGATAATAATAAATTAGAATTTTCCAAGTGTATTTAAATTTAATTCAACGCACAAACAGTTCCATTATTCACCCAGTGTCCAGTTATTGGTTATTGAATAGTCTTTATATAGCGATTTTCGGTATGCGGAATATCTGTCAGAGCTGCCAACTTCTCGAGGGTCTCGTCTGTCGATCATCGGCTGGCCTTTTGATGTCTCGCCGGTATTATTGATAGGCCACGATTTTCGAATTCGATTTCGACGATGGGCCGTGGAAAATGTCAGAGACTGACATTTGGTCCGCTGCCGACAGGTTGCGCATTTTAATTGCGAATTAACAGCGATTCCGCGGACAGCTAACAATCGCAATAAAGTACACACACAATATGTGTGTGGCAGAAATTCCCAATATTCCCAATTCACGCATCTGCCACGCCCACCGCATCGGCCGCCCCTCTATAAAGTGACTCAGAATGAGATATATTTATATGGGTATATATTTTATTTAAAATATACTCAACTAACATTTTGGTCACGTGTCTGTTTCGGTTTCGAGCGACAGACATAACATTCAAATTAAACTTTATGTCATTCATAAATTAAATAATTTAACTTTAAACCCCCCGCCCTCTTTATTTTTTGATGTTACTTCTTCTGTTTCAGCTTTTGGCAGTCGACTGTCCACTTTTGCGGCTTTCCATTATTTTAAGCCTTAATTTATACTTTATTGCGGCCAAGTTGATTTATGCATGTGCGGCTTTTGTATTTTATAGTTGTAAATTACCCAGCAAATGACAATTGCAGAGGCGACACGAAAATAATGCTAATACGGGATAGTCTCGCCAGTGAATACCCTTATAAGGAAGATTAATTGGGTAAAAAGAAGAGAAGTATAAGGACGTCACAATATTAAAACAAGCCATCGAAAAATAACACTCAAATAAGATTAATAGATAAGATTTAAATATATACATCGTTTTTACAAGTGATCTTAAGTGCCCAAATATGAGTTCCTGCACAAAATCCATTCTTTGATATTTGATTTCCAACATATTTATATTCACCTCAGCTCGATTTTTTTCCCAATCCAGATCGAATGAATCTTATTTATTCATGTGGGCGATTTGGTTATTGCCATTTATGCCGGCGGTGGATTTCGGTTCAACTCGATCGGATTAAATTCGATTCAAATGGGTTTTATTTGGGCAACTCGTATCGGGTTGTTAACCGCCTAGTTGCGCTTTTAATGAGTTGTGTTTTATTGGATTTGATTTGCATTTTAATGTGGCTTTTTCTTAAATTTATTATTTGTTGTTGACGCTGTGCGGCTGTGGTGTTTCTTTTTTTTCAATATTTATTTACTTATTTCATTAAACGACAGAGAGAGGGAATCGTGAAATTGTTTGATCTGCCGCTTCCCACACAAATTAAACCATAATTAATAAATGATAATTTGGCAATCGGTTGGTGGGATGAGCAGCCCCTCTGGACCCGAAGCTTCCTGATTGCTGTCATCGTCACCCAATGAATTCCATTTCCATGCAATTTATATCCATTTTAATGGCCGCAAAAGCAAATTTTATGAACAACTCATAATCGCATTTTAAACACACAATTTGTTATGGCCCCACTTGACAATATCAATCATGCCATTCTGCATATGGCAAAGTAATTAAAAATATTCATTATTATTTCCACACCAATTTGCAGGCATTAATAATATTTCCAGGCGAAGATATTTTATTTTCAGATACTTATTTTATCAAAAGATACTTCTAAGTAGATCCTATAAGAACTATAAAATTTATATATAAAGTTTCATATTAAAAACCCTGTTTTTGGTGGACCTGCAACTTATTTCAGCTTGACTGATCCTTTATTATTTCCTTTAGAATCAATTGGTGCATGCAAGGCATTTCGCACATCATTGCGTGACAAATCGGCGGAAAATACAGACTCACACCGGAGGTATATAAACGCCTCTTTATATACCGGTTAAATCTGGCGCTGATCTGAAGGCCCTTCTGCACTGGAATTGCCCGGGACTTCTTCTTTTTTTTTTTTTGACCGCCTGTCAGCCAGCATGTTGGGGCAATCCCCTCCCTTCTGGCAAAGCAAATCAAAACAAATGTTTTATTTAAATGGTTAATTTGATCGGGCCAGAGCATCTGTGCCGGCTTGTTGGCAATGGCCAAATGAGCAGCTTACAAGGAGATGATGAGGCCCGAGGTACACAAATGGCTGCCAAATCGTGAGAATTGCATTTGGAATGCCACCAACCAAAGTGGATTGGATTCGGGTTCGGGTACGGGTTCGGTTTTGGAATAGGGATCTCGGGTCGTGGCTCTGGGTTCTTGATTCTTGGGGCACCTGGCAGGGGATTTTAATTTGCTGGCTTCAATCAAACTGCAGCAAAAAGCAGAAGGATGAGGTGCAGGCAGTGCATTAAACCCGCAAATGTGCTGCAGCTTGGGATGAACTGGCGGTGGGTACACTCGAAAAAATTATAAGTTATAGGATAGAATTTTATGTTAAATGACTCAGTGTGCCTGAATGTTTGCCTACGGTAAGTTGATAGCCACTTGCTAACATTTTGAATGATAATTTTCGAAAATGGTGACCCCGACCTACACTTTGTGGGCCATAACTTGTGCCATGAATATCCGTTTTTGGAATGGTGTACTTTTAAAACTGGTTTGTATAATGGTTTTTTTTTAGTTTCCAATAAACACATCTAATAATATAATAATGATTTTTGAAAAGGTGACCCCGACCTAAACTTTTTGGTCCTCAACTTCGGCCATAGATATTCGTTTTCAGCGTGATATACCTCTTAAAAACTTTCTGATCTCTATTTTAGTTTTTCAAAAGCAAAGCAAATAATTCAATAATAATTTTCGAAAAGGTGACCATAACTTAGGCCAAATATATCAGTTTTTGGAGGGATACATGTACCTCCAAATGTTTTCTGGTTGATGACCTTTTCTGAGCTTTTCAAAAACAGTTCTGTATTTTCTTGACTAAAGCATAAATAAAGTTCTCAAGTCATATTTTCTTAATAAAATGTTTCCAGTGCATAATTGTGCTTCTGCAGCGAGGATCACGCGAAGTTGGGTTGCGTGAAGGTCGGAGGGAGGATGAGGATCGGGATGCGGATGCGGATGGGGATGGGGATGAGGGCGACGACGGCGCTTGCCACTTAGCATAAACGGAAGAAGGGGTACCAGTAGAAGTAGAAGTACCAGTCCCACTTCCCGATCCAGATCCCGATCTAGTCCCAGTCCCAGTCCAAGTCCCAGTCCAAGTCCAAGGCGAAGGCGAAGGCGAAGTGAGCCACGACCTGTGTGGCCGCTGCATCAGGGTAACAAGCTGTAATTAGAGCCTCTTAGCCTGTCATCGCCAGCGTGCTTGATTATAGCCTTTTGACAAAAAGTAAATATTAATTTAATGCGTCCGAGGGAGCGAGGAAGCGAGTGAGCGAGTGAGTGCCTCGAGGCAGCCTCCCCAGCTCGAAGATCGTATGGTGGATTGAACGGGAAGAACTGGAGGAGTTGCAGATCCAGCACAGGGACTCCTGATAAATTTCACCTGAGCTTTGTGTCTTACATTTACAGGTGATAGGAAACGGAATTGAAAGACCTTGGAGAAACAGAAACTTAAGAGGTCATATATGGGTAGAGCTAAAAATGTGGATAGAACCTATACCTACAAGTTATTAATACATCTTAAATAGAAAACCCTTTCATTTTTAATTAAGTAATTTAACACTTTTCAGATTGCAATGTATTGCTTTTCCTTTGACGCCAATTTACATATAAAAATACACCTCATTTTTCTCTTTAGTTTATTGATGTCGTGATTCCAAATGAACAGTTTTCAAAAACAGTTATAAAGTCACCAAGAAATCCATTCCCCACTCAATTACCCACTCCCTTCTCATAATTCAAATGAGCTACCAGCGACAATTTCCAGGAAATCATATCAAATGCATTGCATTTATCGATCCAACTAATCCAGCGCTATCAATTAACATGAGAGGGGTCCCCCCAAAAAAACAGTGAAAAGGGAACACTATACCATATACCATTTACCAGTTATCCAGTTCTCGAAGACGGCAGCTCACGTCGTCGGGTTGGCATCGTCATACGCCCTTTTTTTTTTGTTTTTCTTTTTTTTTTTGGGCCAAAAACAATGGGTTCAAACGGCTGCGCTTCAGCGGAAAACAAAAAGCGGCCCTAAATCAATCACAACCGGCGACATGTCAACAGTCGCGGGGATTGGGGATCGGTGATCGGGGATCGGGATGGGGATGGGGTCTTTGGATGGAAATGGAAACGGCAATGGAGATGGAGATCTGGGGTATCTAGTGGGGCAACGGCAAACTCCCGCGTCCAGGCGAAAATGTCAACGTGATCGTGGCATCTTGAAAAGGGCCGCCGCCTCGCATATATTGGCCAGCTCTTCCCCATACCCATCCCCATCACATCCATCCAATCTGGCCAAGAAGTAAAGGGCCTGGAAAAGGCAGGAGACCCCGGAACGTGTCCACATTTTCGGCCTCTGTGTGCGCGTGATATCTGAACTACGAAATTGAGATCGATTCCCCAGTACGTGTCTGAAATGAGAATTCGCCTGGAGGGCCAAGTTGCCCAGTTCCGAATGCCGATTGCCCAGCCCTGCCCTCTTGTAACGATAAATTATGATATTA